GTAGGGAGCAGGTCTGTGGGGAAGGGCAGGGCTTCTTGCCGTTGTGGTTATCGTGCCGTTTGCTTCCCCCGAGTCACAAAAAGGCTTTGGGGGGCCAAGTTCAGGGCGGCACCCCGGCCACGGTACACTGTCCCGCTTGTCGGACTGCGATGGTTGTCAGACGTTAGCTGTGCCTAGCAAAGGAACCATATAAAAGGGGCTGAGCAAAAACCACGAGCCCTGCTTTTTCCTCCCTCTCTTTTAGGCAAAGCAGACAAGGACCTGAAGGAGAAGTAAGCGAGCTGCTCTCCTTGGCACGCTGCTCTTGGGCTGATCCTGCGTTCACGCCTTGGGCTGCGCCGGCCCGTCAAGGGGGCACAGGGAGCGAGAGAAACCCTGAAGAAGCTCCTGGCTTCCCCGGGCCGGTTCCCTCTCAGGGCTGCTCCGGTTCGGGGTGCTGGGAGGAGCACGGCGGAGGCGAGGGGAAAACGGGGTGGCTGAAGCTCTGTGCTTGCTGGGTGGCAGGTTGTATGGCCTGTGCCTGAGGGTGTTTCACACAAATTGGGGTGATGCAAAGGCTACAGCTCTTCATTTTACTCACCCTTACCCTCTCCTCAACCACCCGTTCTCCCCAGCATCCTCGCCTCTGCCGGTAGCAGCTACTGCTGGGTCCTTTCGGTGTTGTCCGTTAAAGGACGCGTGCCTGCGGTCCTGCCTCGGCCGAGCTCGGCGGCGGTTTTGCTGCTGACTTCAGCCGAGCCGGGACGCTCTCCAGATCGCAGCCAGGAGGGGCCGGTTCTGACGTGGCACCGATGCAATCCAGAGTCGCTCCGCTGGCGTTTGCGGGGAGTAACGCTGGATTAGCTGAGGTCAGAGTCTGGGTTAATCTCTGGTGCTATTCTGGGCTGGGATCATGGTATGAATTGCCCTATATAAACCCTTCCAGGGTGGTAGGGTAAGGATGATTTTATGATCCTGCTAGACAGCATCCAGGTGTTTCGCCCCTCTACCCGTCTTGCACACAGTAGAGACAGTTCTGGATCTCCCGTGTCCTCTGGGCTTGATTCTGACTTGGCCTTACACCAGATTTATCACTGTGCTCTGAACTCCAGTGGCACTGACGGTTCTCCTTGCTGTGCACTGGTGCGAGGGAGGCCGGCATCGGGCTCACAGGCTGCACTTCGCACACCTCAGGCTTTGGGAATCACGTCTGCATCCCCTCCGCGCTCCGAAGGGCCGTGACACTGATTTCTCCTTAATTCAGCATCTGAGTCGTGGCCTTCCCTCCCTGTCCTAGAAACCAAATCCTCCTCTGAAATCAATACGTACGGCTTTCTGAAGACGGCAAAACCTTTTGCTGACCCGTGGGTCGGGTGGTGCAGCTCTAGTGCTGTGGTTTGGTGAGGCTGCGCTCCCGGCACTGTTACGGTACAGCTGCGCTCAGGGGCACATCAGAGGCTTTTCTCCGCGTGCGTTTTGCCTCAATCCCACGGTTGCGAGGGCACCGATAAAAAGTGCAACGCACCAGCTGATTACCTGGAGCTCACTGCTGGTCTTGGACCTCTTTCAATACTGAAAATAAAGCACTGATTCACTGTGTTGGAGAAATAACCTCTTCTTTTAAAAAGCACTGGTGATGGCACCCTGGTGCCTGGGGCGTCTGCCCTGGGATTCCTTCTCCACTCGGTTTTCCCAGTTTGGATGCACGGATGGGGAGGCTGTGCCGGCGGTGGGATGCGTGTGAGGCAAGTGCAAGTGCAGGTAGAGATGCGGGGCAGGTTTCTGTGTCTCCAAGCCCTGGCCAGAAAGCGGAGAGCAGATTTCATCCGATGTCTCTGTCTCCAGCCGCGGACCTGCAGCCCTGGGTGCGGACACGTGTGTGCATCCAGCGTGGTCTCGCAACCCAGAGGGTTGGCCTGAGGTCGGTGTGTGTGGTTTTATCCTGGGTCTGTTACCGTTGCCCCAGGTTTTGCTGTGGGAAAGGGGGATGCTGATGCGTTGGAGG